AGGGTCTCAAGAACTATTTGCCCAAACTGGCTTCGAACTGCAATCGTCCTGATCTCTGCCCCAAGTAGCTAGGATGACAGATGTGAGCCATTGGTGCCTGGCTCTTTCTCTGCCCTTTACCACTACTCATTTCTTTATTTGGTACATCAGGGTGAGCAGTCATCCCTGGAGCTGGGCCTCTGGCCTAGAATGCCAGTGACATAAAGACTAAAATTGGGGCTCAATATTATTTTGCTGCCTGGATAGCTGGTAACATTGGGAGGGCCAAAGTGGCAGTGGTGATACATGCATATAATCCCAGCACTGGGAAGGATGAGGCAGGAGTTCAAGGTCAGCCTAGGCTACAAAGTAAGTCACTGTCTCAGAATTTAAAAAAAATGGGAGACCCTAGAATGACCCGCCTGCTTTGCTCCTGTGGGTAAGGTCCCCTAGCTAAAAACAGTTCTCAAGGGGACCATGTGCAACTTCTGGTTATCCTTGAATAGCTGGTTTCAGTTCCCTGCCAGCCACAGGATTATTCAAACCAGTGAGTCACAACCTCCCTTGGGAGCCAGGGGGTGGGCGGTTGGTGTTTTTCCCCTCGATATTCAGCATTAACGTGTGAGTTAGGGAGTATCTGAGTGAGTGATGTGTGTACAGGAACACATGCTTTTCTAGTTCCATTTTCTGTGACAGAATGGAGATGGCCTGAGTACACAGAGAAATGCTGTCCACTCCATGAGTTGTTGTAAAAATTCCTACCTTCTTGTGTCCATCAGAGAAGACAAATAAGAGATTGGCCTGAGGATTGGCCTGATGAGTGGTGGGTAGCTGGGAACTGGGTAGGTAGAGGCAAGGGTTACAAAATCAACCACTCTCTACTGTGGACCGTTTCCACCTCTTCAAAAGATGCCTGACCTATGGCATCGTTCCTTTGGGTTCACTCTATCGGCCTCACTGCCACACCCCTTTCCTTTCTCGATCCTCCTCCTCCTCTGAACTTTAAGGGATAAAATTCCCTGGGCTTCCATTCTTGGCCATGGGTCTGCTCCAGATGATCAAAGTCCTCTTAAGCTGCAGTTGCCCCTTTATGTCCTCAGCTCCCAGCTGTCTCTCCTGAACTCACACACATTACTATTCTCACTAACATCTTTCTTCTGGGCTTCCTAAGCACACCTCAAACTCATCCTGTCAAACTTCCTCTAATCTTCCTGTCCCAACACTTAGCCCCAACGTGCTCTTCCTCTGGTGCTTCCATTTTATAAAACATCCACCAACCAACACAAGCCCAAGAATCCATCCTGCTTCTATCTTCTCTCTCACCTCCCTAATCCAGCTCATTCCCCCATTCTATGGACACTAATTTTTTAAGCTTCTTTTGAAATTTCCTTTGTCCGTAGACATCCACTAGACACAGGAATGAAGAGAGGACACGAGTGGATGACGCTACCTTAATTGATAAAGAAAAGTGGTCTGCTTATGAGGTCCAAACTATATTGAGGTTAACGACACACAAAGATCAGAAATGGTTTTCCTGAAGTCAATGCACTAAAATAATTTCTCTAAGAATGGAAAGTAATCAAAGATGAAAAGATACAATTAATAATCATTTTGAAATTTGGGGGCTTTTGAGCAAAAACATTTGTTAGGTAAATTGGATTTTGGACATTGTTTTGTCATTTCTAAGAATGGCCAGGGCTGGGGATGTAGCTCAGAGGTAAAGTGCTTGTCTAGCATGTGCAAGGTTCTGGGTTCAATCCCCAGCACTGGCAAAAATGATAAATAAATAAAAATGGCCAGATACAAGTACTGGGTCCCAAGGAACTTCTCACCAAGGGCTCCCATTTGTGCCAATGAGGAATTTCCCATTAGAGACCAAGACTGCTCTGGCATGGAGCCTTCAAACCCACCTATCTGTCTATCTATCTATCTATGTATCGCCCTTCCTTCCTTCCTTCCTTCCTGTGGTACTGGGGCTTGAACTCAGGGCCTCATGCTTTCTAGGCAGGCTCCCTATCACTTGAGCCACACCCCCAGTCTTTACACTCATTTTTCTTCTCATCAATGCAGAGATTTGTGGATAATCATCATCACTATCCAGAAAGTGATGACCCCTCTTCCCAGAAGAACAAGCAAATAGCAAAGGAAACAAATGGTTAGGAGTCTTGCCTAATCTTTCGAACAAGAGATTTGTTTTTGGAGCAGTGGAGAGAAGGGAAGAATGACCCAAACCACACGCCATGCATTTCTGCATTCAGTGCCTGTCCCACCACGACCACCATGCCCACGAGAAAGGCTGGAGGCAATGCCAGAGGAGATAAAGCCAAGGTAAAAGACAAGCCACAGAGAAGATCTGCAAGGTAGTCTCCTAAACCTGCTCCTCCATGCTGGACCCAAGCCTGAAAAGGGCCCCAAAGAAGGGAAGGAAGGTCTCCAATGGGAAAAGGGGAAAGCTGATGCTGGCAGGGATGAGAAAAAAAATGCAGAAAATGGAGATAACAAAACAGACCAGGCACAGACAGCCGAAGGTGCTGGAGATGCCAAGGGAATGTGTGCAGTTTTTGATAACTTCGTAATTCTAATGACTGTACAGTTTGAAATACTATTTTTATCGTTTTTTTAAAATGCAGAATTTTGTTTTACTTTTTTTAAGCTATTTGTCAGCACACGGAACATTTCATTGTTTTGGAGGGAAGGAGTATGTGTCACTAACAGAATGTCTCAAAGTTGGATCAGTGTGGGGGAAAACCTCTTTCCCAGCTAGTTTTCAGAGACTTTCTCTTGGTTCCCAGAACACACCCAGCCACCTTGGCACACCCAGTCACCTTGGCACAAAAGCCTTGTGGTGTGGGAAAACCCAAATTCATTTTTATGTCCTCTTCCTCTCCATCATCAACTTGGACTTAACTCCCTTATACCAGAGCCCTACTGAGCCCTGAACTCCCAAAATTGTCGTGTGTGTGTGTGTGTGTGTGTGTGTGTGTGTGTGTGTGTTACTGGGGTTTGAACTCAGGGCTTCATGATTGCTGGGCAATCATTCTACCACCTGACCCCAAAAATGGTTTTTCCAGTATGTTAGGCAATGCAGATGTTTCAACAACATCATTGAGATGGAGTTCCTCAAATGAGCAATGCTTCCTTTTCTACACTGTGGACCGTCACACTGATACCTCTGCCATTTTCATTTCATTTCCTGAAAGGCAGGGTTGGCCTGTGAAAAGTTGCCAAGTGACATGTTTAATGTGAGATGTCAACCCTCACTCTCAAGTTCCCCTGGTCAGAGCTTCAGATGAAGATGTCACTGGGTCTTATAGCGGCTTTCTCATTTTGACAGTCCATCTAAAAAGAGAATTTGAAAGTTGTTGCATATTATTGAAAGACTGTCCTGCCTGAAACACCATGAATGTTTATGGAAAGTATCTTTTAATAAAGCTAGATACAGTTTGGTGTGTGTGTGTGTGTGTGTGTGTGTGAGAGAGAGAGAGAGAGAGAGAGAGAGAGAGAGAGATTTGATTCTTTGGCTTTGTGGTCCTTAGTCTGGGTGCCTGTTAGAATTATTGGTGGAGAGTACATAAATTAGTAATGTCCTGTTTCCGTCACCTTAGATTATGAGTTGGTTGGTCTGGATGGGGCACTGGTGTTCTTCAAGTACCGAATGAGTCATTCTGCGTATCAGAATCATCATTTTTTTAGTCATAAGGTAAAAATCTAGACTGATTAGGTCGGAATTTCCTCTAGGGTGGGATCCAAGCAACAGCATTTTTCAGAACTCTGCAGGTGATTCAAGTGGGCAGTCTGAGCTGAAGTTTAGCCTGAGCAAAGTCTAAGTGTTAAGTCATAGAGTTATTAGATGTCATTGCTGTTCTGGCACAAAGATTATTAACAGGGGACTGCATATCTTTGCTGGACAGCTTCCTGTTTGTGGATTCTTGGGTATGGGCAGAGGCCCAGTCCTCTGTGTCTAAGTCATCCTCCACTAATCATGCAGACGCTGGGCCCTGGGGCTACGCTGACTGTTAAAGACTCCCTCAGTAGGACAAGGGTGTAAACGGGTGTGGGTAAGACCTAAACTGTGTTCGCGATTGCTTTGGAGGTGTGTGCAAAACTACTCAACTGTCCTTCCTCTGTTGGGGATCATGTATCAGTATTACTGTGATTATTCTATGTGACTGCCACCTCACAGTTGTGTAAAAAGCTGACCCTGTCTAAAATATCCATCTCACTGCCATGAAAGGAACCAAGGTATGATTCAGCTTAGAAAAGTGAGTCATCCATGATTTTGGCAGACCCCAAAGCAGGCAGCCATGCGGAAAGCAGAGAATGGACCAGGCATGAAGGATCGGAATGGTTTGTACATAAGCCACCAGCCAAGCAGTTTGAGAAAAAAATGTCCTCTGATTTCTAAGTGATGATGGTTTCAGTCCTCACCTAAGTGATGATGGTTTGGCCCCCACAATGGCTCCCTGAGAATGGTCACAGGGGCTCCATGAAGGATCCCTTTGCTCTGCATGCATTTCTCTGCAGCACACAGGACAGAGCTTAAGGTGTAGCCCTGCCTGTTCTTCTGGCTGATGCTCAAGACTGCCTTGAGCTCTGGCCACACCTGGGAGCTGGTGTTGGGGAGGTTCCTTTCCATCCCTTTGCCTTCCTTAAAAGGTTGTTTCTCTCTCAAGTTTGCTCCATACCTCTCTTCTCCAGGCCAGTCCTGCCCATTCCCACTTCAAACTCCATATCCAGAGGCCCCAGTGGTCTAGAGCTCTGCCTCCCACACCTGCCTTTGAGGGGAGGACAGGGGAAGGCTTCCACTGAAACACGTGGAAAGGATGCTCCCAACAGAGATTGCCCAACCCCAGATCCATCCACCTGCCTCAGGGACAGCAGCTTGTCTTTGTTCATCATGCTCAGCAAATCTCCCCAACTGGGAATGAGCCCACCTCAGGGAGAAGCAGCCTTGACCCAGGCAATGCACCTGGGGGAAAGGCCCAGGCTATTCTGGGGTCGTAGCTGGAAGCAGTACTCACGTGCCAGTCATCTGAGGTTTGGTTTTCAGGCTCCTGTGTTTTCCGCTGAAAGAGAGAAAGGTTGAACTGACGAATGGATTAAGAAAATGTGGTATCTATACACAATGGAATTTTATGCAGCCATGAAGAAGAATGAAATGTTATCATTCGCTGGTAAATGGATGGAATTGGAGAACATCATTCTGAGTGAGGTCAGCCTGGCCCAAAAGACCAAAAATCGTATGTTCTCCCTCATATGCGGACATTAGATCAAGGGCAAACACAACCAGGGGATTGGACTTTGAGCACATGATAAAAGCGAGAGCACACAAGGGAGGGGTGAGGATAGGTAAGACACCTAAAAAATTAGCCAGCATTTGTTGCCCTTAATGCAGAGAAACTAAAGCAGATACCTTAAAAGCAACTGAGGCCAATAGGAAAAGGGGACCAGGAACTAGAGAAAAGGTGAGATCAAGAAGAATTAACCTAGAAGGTAACACCCACGCACAGGAAATCAATGTGAGTCAACTCCCTGTATAGCTATCCTTATCTCAACCAGCAAAAACCCTTGTTACTTGCTGTTTTACCTCAACAAAATTAGAGGTAAGGGCAAAATAGTTTCTGCTGGGTATTGAGGGGGTGTGGGGGAGAGGGAGGGGGCGGAGTGGTGGTAAGGGAGGGGGTGGGGGCAGGGGGGAGAAATGACCCAAGCCTTGTATGCACATATGAATAATAAAACAATAAAAAAAAAGAGAAAGGTTGAGTGACAATATTGAATGTGATGTTTGAATGTATCACTTATTTAAACAGTTATCTTTTGAGAGTTTCAAGTAAAATGTTTTTAATTATTGGAGGCCATTGGGCTGGGGTACTCCAGTGCTTTGAATTTCCACATAAGCAAACTGGAATCCGATGTAAGCAGTAAAATGAAACTAGAGACTTTAGCCATAAAAAAGACATTAACTAATTTCTAACTAGGGTCTTTCCATTTTAACCTATCCAGTGTACTTTCTTGGTCTCACTTCTTACTTCTACTTGAGCCCATGAAAGTGTAGGGCTCATGTAGCTGCAGTAGTTCTCACTGGAACTCTTCCTCTCTGACTTCTGCCCCATCGACAGATCCTTTGCTCAACCATCTGCTAACTGTATTTTGTGTGAAGTGTTTCTCTTAAGTCAATTTACGTTTTTTTTAATACCTATTTTTATGGATCTATGTATCTACCGTGAAAATAAGCAGTGCCAAAGCGTGTCAGGCACCAGTGGCTCACACCTGTAATCCTAGCTGCTAGAGAGACTGAGATTGGGAGGATCACAGTACAAAACCAGCCCAGGTAATAGGTTACGAGGCCCCATCTCCAAAATAACCACACTGGAGATGTGGCTCAAGCACTAGAGTGCCTGCTTTGCAAGCATGAGGCCCCAAAGGAACCACTGCTTAGCCCAAAGGAAATTCTCCTCCCTGGTTTTTAGACTGAAGGAGGGATTTTGTGGAGCCATGCAGACTAGGAGGCTGGGACTGGTTTCCACAGGCTGAACTGGAGAAATTCTACTTATCTTCTTACTTCAAGGGCCCTCAGACATTTTCCTCAACTTTGCTACCTGCCTCCTGGGATGTGTCAGTCCACTCAGAGGAGATGCAGTGACAACCAGGTTGAGGACACATCATTCACAGTGATGAGTACGGGCCCAGACTCCTGGAGTCTGAGTGACCCCAGAAAGGAACTTCACCACCCTCTGCAGCTCTCCTAGAGTTGTGGTCCTGAAGAGCAAATGAATTCAAGATCCCCAGGGTTGCACCTACTCTGCCTGGCAGTCTCCCTCTTCTCCCCTCTATCTAAATCCCAAGAAGAGGTGAGAATGGCTGACTTTCCAGAAGTAACACTAGAGTTGTTCACATTACTTTTGGACATCCAGGAGAATGACTTGACATCCTTCCCTTGAGATACAAGCAGCCCTACTTTGTATGTTTGAGAGAGGCAACAGACAAGCATGAGCCAAGAAACAGTCACTTGAGAGTGGCCATGGAACTGCCCAGCTATGAGTGGCCTATAATTTCCATCCCCCACCCTCCCAATTTGTTATTCTTCCATGTTTGCAATGAAATTGAAACAATCCTTAAGTCAGGGTACTGTTTCCATCTTCCCTCACCACCTTTGAATGTTTAGTATACGTTTTATATAATTGTGTGTTAAACAAATGAATATTATTGCACTAAGGAAGAGAGATGAATGGAGTCTCTTAGGTAAATATTAGCATACAAAAATTATTATTCTGATAAATATATCAGATTACAATACCTCAGTTGTCACAGATCGGTTAAGTGGCCCTTTTATGAGCTGTCATGTAGTGCTGACAATGGCATTGAAGTTTCCAGAAAACAAGTAGCTCTGGAAGCAAGACAGGCTCTCAAAGGCACCAAAGACCAGATTCTGTTCTTGCCAATAGGGGACCTTGTTGTACAAAGCATTGTACCACGAATAAGGGTAGATTCTGTTGGGATTTGAACTCAGGGCCTCACACTTGCCAGGCAGGCACTCTACTGCTTGAGCCATTTCCCCAGCCCTGGGTAGATGCTATCGTTTGGACATCTCAAGCTCACTTGGATAATCTATACTGAGTTACCCTTGACACCTGGGGAATGGTAGAAGCATGGGTCTTTAAAGTATTCACTGAATAAGTCAAATAATAGTTTCCAGTAGATGAAATGTCCCAGTGACTGAGAGTTAAAAACAGTTAGATAATAATGTAAATTGCCAATTACTAAGGACTGACTCTTAAATTTTCAATGGAATATGAAGCCAAGTGACCAATGATACGTGACCTGTCTTAGAAGACTGTGACTGTCTTGGGTGGATATGTCTACCTGTAGTATATAAAAATGACACTGCCCCACTCCTCATCCTCTTCTTCAGGTTACCATTCATACTCAATCTTGGAAACACTGTCACCTTGTCCTGATTCTCCACTGTACTTAACCTATTTTTTGCTTTCTTCTACAGAGGGAGAAACCACTTTCACAGATAAAACAGAAGACACAAGCTCATCCAGTAGAGCCAAATTCTCAAAGTAGAAATTTTTCCTGGTCAGTTCCTACTATAAGCTTCTTCTCCAACAGCTCTGCCCTCAATGAAGGGCAAATAGTTTTCCCTTGACAAATAATTCTATGTGTCTGTATGACCATTATATTGAAAGTAGGAGGGGCTGGTGGAGTGTCTTAAGTGACAAGAGTGCCTGCCTAGCAAGTGCAAGGCCCTGAGTTCAAACCCCAGAAAGAGAGGATGAAAGGACCAGAAAAAGAATACAACTTGAGTTGCCTATCTCATAAAGTGATATGTGGTTTTATATAGTCCAGAATCTCCTGAATGATTGTGAACATCTGTTTAATACATCAGATTCCATTAAAGTTAGCAAATAGTAAAATCAATGAGAAAAAATCTGGCTTTGAATTGAACATGATCCTATCACCTTACTATGGGATGTTTGTATGTATCTCATAATCATGTTTGCTTTCCCAACTTTGCTACCTTAAAACAACTGCATCCATTGCTAGAACACATCAGTGAGATCTATTTTGATAGCTGTTTATCATCTCTAGTTCAAATGGGTCAACATTCAAAGACCTATCTTAATACACAATAGCACAACTCTGACAATACATGCCAAAAGAAAGGATGAGAGAGAGAGAGAGAGAGAGAGAGAGAGAGAGAGAGAGAGGAGAGGAAGGAAGGAAGGAAGGAAGGAAGGAAGGAAGGAAGGAAGGAAGGAAGGAAGGGAAAGAAAGAAAGAGGAGGGGAGGGAGTGAGAATGAGGGAGTGAGTGAAAAGGAGTGAGTGAGGGGAAAAAAGGAAGTGGGCGGAGGAAGTGGAAAATTAGTCATGATTACCCAATTCAGAGGCCATAAAATGAATGTTGTACATGTACAATCGATTATATGACCAGCATTTGTAGAAAACAATAGGATAATCACCTTTTCCTTCCTATGACGTGTTTTTGGAGGATGAGCTAGAAATCCTTTCTGAAAGATGAGAAGATTCAAGTATATGGTTAATCTGTGTTTCTGTTGTGTAAATTCAGCATTTCCCAACCTTCTCCCAAATACTTCTGCCTGGATATTCCATTGCAGTTCAAATCCAAGGTGTCTAAATGAGACACCATCTCCCCCTCCTCATGTACCTCCTCCAGACTTTAGCCAATAGTATCTGGAAAGGCGTCTTTAGAACCCTTTCCCTTTCTATGGTGCTTCTTTCTAAGTCTTGAAAGGTTTTCCTTCACAATCTCTTAAACAACTGTTACTGCTTCTCCATTCCTACCAGTGCCGCTCAAACTTGAGTTTCTACACCAAGACTATCCAATAGACATACACTATAACATGCCTACTAGGTGTCAGATACTCTGACAATTTGGGGCACACAAAGGCAACAAACCCTAGAGAAGGCTAGAGAAGAAAACTCATGGACTCTGACAATCAGAGAGGGGTAGCATATCTGAGCTAAGTTTTGGAGGTTGAGTATAGGTTTACTAAGCAGACCCATGGCTCTCTAAAACAGTGTTTCGGGGGCTAGCATGTAGCTCAGAGGTAGAGCACATGCATAGAATGCATGAGGCTCCAAGTTCAATTCCCTCAGCCCTGCCAACAACAAAAAAATACTGTTTTAAATGTCATTTCCAACCTCAGAAGATTTCACTGATTCCTTGTTGTCTAGATTTTGAATTTGAATTGATTAGGCTGACATTAAAGCCCTCCATAAAGAACCCCAACTGGTGAATGATGCTTTATCGCACACAACACATCTACCTAAATCCACAGCTACTTTTGCCATGGTTCTGGTTTTCACGCCTTCTCTCCCCTGGAGGGTCTTCTTCCATTTGTTTGACTGTGCACTCTTCTTTTGTTTCAGTCCCTAACGTTCTCCACACACACACTCCTCCTTCAAGGACCTGCATCTATGCTTTTACAAGGCCAGTGTTCTGCACTGACCATGGTAATGACTGTAGGGCCTCTCTCTCTGAGAGGAACTCATTGGCACCAGGGTTTTCGCCGTAACTCCACAGATATTTGATGAATAAAGTGACCTTACTATTAGGGTGCAACAAACAGGCGTACCTCTCCTGCCCCCAGTCGCTAAAATACCTGCATCAGCCACAAGAGGGGCCTCCTGCCACAGCGCACACTCATCTTCCAGTGCTTTGACTTGGCATAGCCTCCTTTGACTTCAAATTCAGTGGGGGTGAGCCAATTTCCATCCTCATCCTGTATAGACTTCACTGAGCCTCCTGGAAGACAGAGTAAGTGGAGTCTTGAGCTCTCTTTGTCCACAGAACTCTAACTCATGATCAACCACTACAATGGATCTAGACCCACCCAAACTGGCTTCAAGGTCAATAGAAGATCAGACTTCCCCTCTCAGACTTCAGAGGCCTCCAACTCAACCTGACAGTCCTCTGAAAGGAAATTTCCCGAGAGATGCCATATTTCTTTGATTCTCATGTATGAAAAAAGTGACAATTACCATCAAAAGCAACCTTTTAAAAATATTTCAGAATCTTCCTTTTGGAAGAGCAATTTATTCCCAAGGATGAGAGGTTTCAATTTGCACATGGCCCTGGGGCAATGTGGGCAGAGTCCTCAAATTAAGGCTGAGCTCTCAGAAGGTGCTCTGCCACTCAGAAGGTCACCAGAAATATCTGCTCCCTCCATTACAACATTTTCATCTAGTTTAGTGGCATCATTGAGCAGAAGTTTTCTCATCCCTGCAATCATAGATAGCTAACATTTAAAAAATAACTGTGAAATGACATCTGGTGAAAAATACAAGGTATGTACAAATAATAATCATATGCTCAATATCTTTTCTTTTTGGTGGTACTGGGGTTTGAACTCGGAGCCTTGTGCATGCTAGGCAAGCACTCTACACTTGAGCCATGACCTCAGTCCTTCTGGATTTGGTTATTTTAAAGATAGGTTCTTGAATTTACAGCCAGGCCAGCTTGGGTTAAGATCTTCCTATTTCTACTTCCCATGTAGCTGGATGACAGGCATGAAACACTACACCCAGCTTTTTGTTGGTTGAGATGGGGTCTTGAGAATATTTTCTGGGGCTGGCCTTGAACCATGATCCTCCTGAGCTCTGTCTACTAGAATTATAGGCATGAACCACTGTGCTGGGCTCAACCTCTTAGTTATTAGGGAAATGCAAAGCCAAACCACAATGAGAAACCACTTCACAGTCACCAGGATGACTGTATTTTAAAAAGGCAAGAAATAACAGCTATTGATGTAGAGAAATTAGAGCCCTGAGGTGCTGGTGAGAACATGAAAGTATGGCCACTGTGGGAAACATTCTGGCGATTCCTTAACAAATTAAACATAGATTTACCATGTAATCCAGCAATTCCGCCCCTGGGTATGTAAGCCAAACAATCAAAAACATATCAAAGCAGCCCCATGCAGGTGTACATGCCTGTAATCCCAAATACCAGGAGGTGGAGATTCAAAGAAGCCCAGCTTGTGGCTAGCCAGGGCAAACAGTTAGCAAGACCTCATCTCAACCAACAAGGTGTTGTGTTGGTACCTATCTGTAATCCTAGCTACTTAGGGGACTAGGTAGGAAGGGAGTGATCTGGGGCTGACCCTGGGCAAAAAATACAACTCTATCCTGATAAGTAACTGAAGTTAAAAGGGGCCAGGAGTGTGGCTAAAGTGGTAGAGTGTTCTCCTAGGAAATGTGAGGCCCTAAATGTAATACCCCTAGTGCTGTAAAACAAAACAACAACAACAAAGAGTTATTTATAATAATCAAAAAGTAGAAACAATCCAAATTGATGAATGCAGAAACAAAATGTGACTTATGGTTCAGGTAGTAGCGTGCCTGTTTTGCAAGTGCAAAGCCCAGAGTTCAAACCCCAGTCCCACTGAAAGAAAGAAAGGAAGAAAGGAAGAAAGAAAAGAAAAGAAAATGTGATATGCCTACTGCAAGGATGAGCCATGAAAACATCATGCTAAGTAAAAGAAGCCAATTGCGAGTGTCACATGTTATAGGAAAAGTCTAGAAAAAGCAAATTTATAGAGAGAAATTAGGTCAGTGGTTGCTCAGGGCTGGGTGCTGGGATTAGTTGAAAATGAGCCTTCACTGCCATATTGGACACGGGGTTTTCTTTAGTGGGAACAAAATATCCTAACATGAAATTTTTGTGATGGTTGTGCAATCTTGTGGCCCCACTGATTTGTATTCTGTAAGTTACAAATTGTGTGTGTGAATTAGCTCAGCAAAGCTGTTTAAGAAACAGTCACAATGCAAACACTTATATTAACGGACATCCGAAGGCTCGTAAAGGCTTGTGTTAATAGAGTTCCAAGATGAGGTCTACCATAGTAGATTTTTTTGGCAAAGCTTTAGAATCTATGATCACAAAATATATTATATTATGTAAATTAATTCTCACAGATATACCGTGAGTAAGTTTAAATGATTGTCCCCTTTTCTGGATGAGAAATTTCAGGCTCAGAAAGACCCCCTTCTTTGTTGAGAATGAACAGTCACTCTTGGCAGAGTGGAGCTGGAACTCAGGTGTCCTGATTCTAAACCCTGTGATCTTGTCTCACTATGTCAAGTGCCTGCCCTGGTGACAGGGACCAGAGGGACAGAGTATGTAAAGGTAGAGGCTGAGGACCTCTTTCTCTTTATTCTGGCTCAAAGTAAAAATATGCAATATTTCCCATCTGTGGATTGAACTTCCTGTTCACCTCTTTGATTCTTTGGGTACTCACATGGGCCATGTGGGAGTGAGCATCTAATATGGAGGCTCGCCTCTCTAATATGGATTTCTCTCCTCTCTCTCTCTCTCTCTCTCTCTCTCTCTCTCTCTCTCTCTCTCTCTCTCTCTCTATCTCTGGGTTTTGAAGTCAGGGTCTTGTGCTGCTAATCAGGCACTCTACCACTTGAGTCACACCTCCAGCCCTTTTTGCTTTAGTTATCTCTTGAATAGGGTCCAGGATCCTTCTATTTATGCTTTCCACCTAACTGGGATGACAGGTGTGCACCACTATGCCCAGTTTTTTTATTGGTTGAGATGGGGTCTCATGAACTTTTTCCCCGGGCTGGCCTCTGGATTTCCACTTCCCAAATAACCAGGATTACAGGTATGGGCTACCACACTTGCTTGTACAATTTCTTAGTGTGAAAACAGCATCTTGGGGACCCCTTCTTCCTCTCATGCCAAACTGGTGCCCCAGTTCTTTAAATGATGAGTAATTTCGTCACTTTTTGTTATTCCTTCAGACAGGAGTTGCATATTAAAGACCTGAAACCCACCTTGCTTCAGTTTCTTCTTATGTAAAATTCCTTTCAGCTCACCACATGTCACAGGAAGTAAATCTGCATGAAAATCCAAAGTTTCGTATCTGTGCTTTCTTGAACCTGAAAGAGAAGATTTCTCCACAGTCTCACTTGGCAATTGCACCTGTCTCCCTTTTCCCCTGCTGAGGTCATTCCTGTAAAGTCAGAAGGGCACCAAGGAAACTGATCCACAAATCTCTAGAGTCATTCTCACAGGCGGCATTTTGGATAATAATGACAGAAAGTCTACCTGAACTTCATCTGTCACATTTCACACAAACCAGAATGCCTTTGGAGAGAAAGTAGGCTTCAATAAAACTCTTACCTCCCCCTCTAGTAAACCGCACTGATTCTTACTTGACCATGAAACACACAGCCACCGTTCTTATAGGAGCTTTCCAGCAGTGCTAGTTTGCTGCAGTCAGGAGCCAGAGACAAGGCCAGGAATGGTACTTGTACCTCTGTGTTAGAACTCTGACTGCTCAAGCAGGGAGAGGATACTGATGGAACCTAATGGAGATGGCGTCTGTCTCCTGCTGTCTGCTCGGCTTCATTTCCCCCTAGCATCAGCTGTCTCTGTAGCTGAAAGAGCTCGGGGAGCCCTAGAATAAGCTGAAAATTATGGAGGGAGTGGGGACTGGAGACCTGACTCCACAGAAGAAGCAATGGAAGGTGTCCCAGCAAACTCCTGGACGATGAGTAGTTAAGTTTGCCCTTCCAACCAACCAACATTGCAGAGGCTCTGATGGGGAGGAAGGGAGCTGTCCTTGATACTAAGACTAAGTTGGTGAGGGGTAAAACAATTAGAACTGGAGTGGACTGGATGGTTGGCTAATTATCTTACTTTACAGATGAGGACACTGAGGCAAAAGAGGTCAAGTGATGGGTTCAAACTCACAAAGTGAAAGGAAGAGAAAGCCCTAGGACACAGCTACCACCACTTTGGGCCACCTTGATGTGCAATCTGTCTAATGCATAAAGAAAAAATATTATCTCTGGATTTGAAGCTAGCAGACATGTTCAGCTCTATACTTTAAATTACCAAGAATTACATGGTCAATTTTAGTCTCATTTTATAGCTCACTTTCACATTCCCACATTAATAAAAAAACTAATTGAGGTCAGCATTTCACTTATATTTCAACATCAGTGTATTAAGTCTTAGCATAAGCCAAACACTTGTCATCTGTGAATTTATGTGATATTAGCAACGAATAAGTAAAATCAAGGTGATCATTACCGCATTCCAGAAACTAAAATATACAGAGAAAATTAAGACAAAAGTATAAAAGTACAAGATTAGGTGAAGGCATTGTAGACTTCTGTCAGCGGAGAGGTAGAAACAAATGGCAGTTCTGTGAGTTAAGTGAAGTCGTAAGTGTTCCAGTTAAGATACTTGCACTGTATCACCTCAAATGGGGATATTTGTACATTTGTGATCAAAGTGACAGTAAATGTGACCAAGGATTTTGTCCACTTGGGTTTGGACAGAGATATTAGGACCAAAGAAACTAACCAGAAGAAGGCTAGCTAAGAGAATTAAGTCTTCCAAACTTTTGTTTCAAAAAGATCATTGAGTGGGGGCAGGGAGGAGAAATGACCCAAGCCTTGTATGCACATATGAATGATAAAAGAAAAAAAAAAAAAGAAATTGAACCAAAAAAATAAGTAAATAAATAAATAAATAAAGATCATTGAGGACTGGCTTGACAGATGTTGCAAACGAGTGTTCTCCCACTTGCAAGTTAATCCACTGTTTACTGTGATTCAAATGTGTTGATTTTCTAAAGTAACAATATAAAATTTTTCTTCTTCTTATATTCAATGCCCACCACTCAGTGGCCGCTGTCTGGTGATGCTAGCTGGAGCCAGGTAGACCCCATGGGGAAGAATTTTCCAGGCTACTCAGTCCTAAGTGCTGTGAACTCTACACATGTCAGGCCAGCAACAAAAACAGGATCATTATTCTAATCAACCCCAAAGTGGACCTGTATTCCTAGCCAGGCTTGGCACTAAAGCTCCCACCACAGCCTTGGGTAACCCAGAAAATACAGAGTTCTTTCTTGCTTTCTCTCTGTCTCTGTGTGGTTATCTTTTCTGGGACTGGTAGGTATGTGGGATTTGCCTTTCATAGCACCTGTGCAGGCCTAACATTTTTAGGCAAAAAAGGAAATGTTGAAGTCCACTTTAGTCTATGGAGCCTTGCAAAGAGAGAGATTTGTAGTTACAAATCCAGCTAATCCACAATATGGCACTGCTGTGTTTTCCTTCCAAAATAGAGTGGTGGAGCAAAGCAAGACTTAACTACTGCTGTGTCCCTGTGCTGTAATACCCATTCAAGCACTGAACCCCCATCACAACTGATAAATACTACAGTGGTTGGAATATAGAATTATTCTAAAATAAGTGTCATGATCAGTATTAACTAAACTTTAGAAGTATGACAAGGCTATCAACTTTCTACTGTCCTCTCAACATTTTTAAGGGAATCCCAACAGTTGGAAATAATTCAAAAAGTAGCCAGCTGGTCTGCTCAAGACTAAGAAGGTACCCAGGACACAGGAGTTTCAGTGGAAATGTCTCAGGCAACCAGATTGAGTTGCTCACTCAACTTCTAAGCACCGACTTCCTAAAGCAAAGCCCCAGACCTCCTAGGAGCCAAACAAAGTACTGGTGGGACTGTTTATGCCAACGTTAGTCCTTCCCTCACATCCGGGTGCAGAAGAAAGGCTTCGCTTCTTTTGAAGGAAGTCAAGCTGTGGTTCCTGACGCTTCTTATTCCCCCACAGTAGAAGTGATGGTAGAAATTCATGGAAGAAAGAGCCTCCTCACTTCCAATGTCATCTCTACCCTCTCGCCCACCTCCCCAGTCCTGGATGGGTCCAAACTAGCAGCTGTTGACTAGAGGGGAGCCCAGAGAGAGTAGAGAAAACAGACCAGGCCACCCCCACTTCACATATCCCAGACCAGGGTGAGCCCTGGTAAAGGAGGAAAATGCTTTAAGTTGGAGCAAATGTTGGAGTTTTTGTTGTTGTTTGTCCTTTTTTTGTTGTTTTTTAAGACAGAGACTCACTATGTATCATGTGCCATACCCAGATTGAAGTTTTAATCCTAGGTCAGAAGGTATTCTCAGCTTCTGAAATGAAATGCTTATTACTGTAAAAAAGGGAACTGAAAAGCTACCAGGTCTACCCAAGATAGAATAAACTCGCTTTCTGCTTAGAGTTCACTATTTTAGTCTGGCTATTTTAATCGACCAATATAAAAGGTAAAGGAATTTCCACAAAAAGCAGATGCACCCCACAGGGGAGAAATAGGTCCTGGGCAGATAAGATCTATGATCTACACATAGTTTACCTCCTTGGCTGCAAAGGGGCTCGCTTTTAAATTTCACTACTCTCAAACTAACTAAGCTTGACTAGTAAAAAAACGGATGCTCTAGATTCCCCAGAGCCATCTGTATTGACCAGTAGGTAAGGGAAAATGCAACAGACTTGGTCTTACCTTTAGTCTTGGCAGGGCCTTGCAGATTTGCCTTTACTCTCCTTTTACTGGAGGCCCCCTGGTCATCAGCTGTGTTGTTACCTAGGGATAGACACAGGCAAAGGTAGAATTGGCCAAAACAACAGCTGACCATGGGAACAAAAGCAAAGGAGAGAATTCTGGGTTTGCTTCTGGATCCCTCCCTCCAGACAGGAAAAGGAATGGCAAGGAGTCACAAGCAGGCATCTGGCATTTCTACTGATAGGAGGGTCAACTTTTCTATTACTTGCAGGATTTAGTTGTACTGTGGAAAGAAGTCTCTTGGAATGTGTCAACATCCATACAGACTTAAGTGAAAATGTTCTGATTCAGTCCAAATAATGTTATTTTGAAAATATGCATTCATAAAATAGATGCAATCACTTTTTTCTTTCCAAATAAAAATGTATACATACCCACCAACAAGGGAGTCATGCAATTGTCAAGAACATATGATATACAGTTTGGTGAATATTAATAATTTTAATAGAACTCTAAAATCTTTCTGTAAAGATCTGCAGATTCAAAACTGACAATCATTTGGAAAATGAGCTTTGGCCTTCATTGTTTAGGAGAAAGGAATTCCTTAGGCCACTACTAAAATAAGATTTTAGGGGTCTGATTGTAAGATACATATATATGTATTCAGAAATTGAGAAAATAAAATTATATGAAATATCACCATCTAGAGATAGCCACAATTAACTTGTTATTGCTTTTTTTTTTTTTTGGCAATACTGGGGTTTGCGTTCAGGGCCTCTAGCTTGCACAGCCCATGCGGTACACTTAAGCCACGCTCCTATCTCTTTTTGCTTTAGTTTACTTTTCAGATAGGGGTCTTGCATTTTTGCCTGGGGCCAGCTTTGGACCACAATCCTACCTATGTCTCCCAAGTAGCTGGGATTACAGACATGTACCAACATACCTGACCATACATTGCTTTCTAAATAAGACTGTTTTCATTACAAAAGTTGAACATGGTCAAAATATTTAATATACACATACATTTAAAAACCACAAATAAAAGTATAAACATCACCTCTATTCCGATAACCAAATGTAACTAATTCATGCATTTCAATGGCTGAACTGCCATCAATTTTTCTAGATCACCATAGCTAGTCTCTGTGTAATACATGTGCACAGTCTACATTTACAGATACAAATACATACTTGCACAAATACAAGTTTACACATATCTACCTTTTTACAACACACACACACACAGTTGGAACATCTTTCCAAATTAATAAAAATTATCTTTAACTAGGCAAGAAAGGCACATTTTAAGGATGACAACAACTCCCTACTAACCCTATTAACTTATCTCTGGACTATTACATGTATGAGAAAAAACCATTATTGTTTCTCATTGTATTTTCAGGCCTCTTTGTTACAGCATCATAGCCTCTGTCCTAACAGATACAGCAGCTATGGAACCATCATGGCCCATAGGAGACTGTAGGCCTCCAAGCACACAATGGATATACCATAATAAACTGCAAGGTGCCACTACTTCACTTGCCTCCTTACCTTTTTCATATATTTTTTGCTGTTTTTTCCTTCTTGAGAATGACCAGTTATGCCCTTTCTTTTTTTCTTCAAAGCAAAGAGAACAGAGTTAGTCATTCGCAGCCTTTGTAGCAGCGTGGGGGTTGATTATAGAGGTAAGTTTTAACTCTGCTGGTGCCTTAGGTTATGGGCTTCGGAAACTACAGGAAAGGATTTTCCTTTGAAATTTTTTAAAGAAAGAAAAATGACCTGTATCCTTGGACTGAATGACAATTGTTCTAGTTATCTAGAATGTCCCCCCTTCAAGTGTTTGTTACGAAAACTCAAATGTGTAATGAGAAGGCACATCCTTGAGGTTAGCTTGCACATGGCATTGAAAGTTGAGTGACATTCTCAACTTCCATATGGGAGTTTTTATTAAATAATTTCTGAGCTCTTGAAGTTATTAACACAACTCCTCTCACATGTTTAAACTAGCCCCTGCAGGACCCAGACAATCTGAACCACAGTGGGATTTTTATGTTGCTGTGTTTTTCTTCTCTTTTGAATTATACCAAAACATGTGGCTATGTGAAGACAACTGGCACTGAGTGAATGGAGAATGTGTCTGATTATTATTGACTGTGGTACTAGCCAACTACTAAAGTTCTACTGCTAAAAGTCAAGTTCTAACCCATGGAAGGAGGCCTTGTGACTCTCCCACCTGAGGTGCCCATTTGGGGGTGGGTCAACTCAGCCCCCAGGACTGGTGAGAAATGAAAGAAGGAAGGAAGGAAGGAAAGAAGGAAGGAAGGAAGGAAAGAAGGAAGGAAGGAAGGAAGGAAGGAAGGAAGGAAGGACCCCAAATGCCATGCTCTTTACGTAAAGATGGTAATCCAAGAACACAGAGACTCTACCCAGTGGTACTTCCACTTTCTTGTCTACTTCCAGTCTGAAGCAACCCTCTATCTAACTTGTTGAGATCCTCACCTCATCAAGATTCTCCTAGGCCTGGACCTGGTTCACTGAGCTCAGCTAAGCTGATGCCCTCATCCACTGGGCTGCATATCTGCTCATCCTCAGGGCTCACCAGGCAGAGCTTAGAGTGGGAGGCAGAACTCAAACATTTTTAGGAAAGTGTGATAGCTGCACCTTATTTCCCAGGATAGTCATGCATTGCTGAATGATGGGGATATACTCTGGAAAATGCATTGTTAGGTGATTTTCATCATTGTGCAAATATCAGCATGGACTTTCATAAACAAAGACAGCAATGTAATCACATTACATTTGGCAATGTAATTTTATGGGACCACCAGCATGGATGTAGTCTGTCACTGACATGAACAGCATTGTGAAGCATCTGTCTACACTAAAATCTGTATTTCTCTTAATTTTCCCAGAACAAATGAGCAAAACTTTAGTGCTTAACACAACATAAATGTATTGTCTCAGTTATGTCTGTTAGAAGTCTGATACTTGTCTCACTGGGCTAAAATCAAGGTGTTAATAGGCCTTCATCTCTTTCTGGAGATTATATGGGAGAATCAATTTCCTTCCCTTCTCCAGCTTCTTGAGGTCATCCACATCCCTTAGTCCCTTCTTCCATCCTCTGACCATTATTTCTCCATAGTTACCTCTCCCTCTCTCCATAGCCAGAAAAGCTTTTCCACACACAATTAGATTGGGCCCATCCAGATAATCCAAAATAATTTCTCTATTCCAAAGTCCCTAGCTTAATTTATCTGTAAAATCCCTTCCACCATGTGAAATGATAGCTTGCAGGGCTGAAGGATTAGGATGTAGACATTTTAGGAGACTATCACTGTTTATCACAGTATTATAAATAATAATAATAACAATAATAATAACTTCAAGATTTAAATAAAATTTTCAGTGACATCAAAAGCAAGTCAATTTTCATTTCTTCTTACTTCTTTTCCTCTTGGGTTTTCCTGAATTAGTATTGTTTCCATTATCCACAGTATCTGGAAAATAGCAAATGGTGGTAAAGAAACAAATTAATAAAAGTTACAAATCTCAAGACCATCTATACTGAAGAAAGCTTGAGTTTATAATGATGTTTGGATTTTCATTCCTTTCTTCTTTGTAGAAGAACCCCTAAGCCTACCAAACTAAGAACTAGGAGTCTGGGTTGGGCCCTGGTTCTTCCTTTTTCTCTCAATGGATTTTGAAAATCATGTTTCAAAGACTTGAAAGTGAAGGGGCATTGCATGGGGGGAAGGAGGAAAGGAAAGGGAAACAAGGGAGGGTGGTAGGCATGAATATGATTGAGGTACATTGTTATGTGTATGAAAACATCATAATGAAACCCATTATTTTATGAAATTTTAATAAAGGAAGACATTTTTAATGTCTATGTACTTCTGTTTCTTCGGTCATAGAAACAGTTCTCTTACCCTGTTTTGGTGCAAAATTTTATGGAAAATACTTGCTTAATTCAGTGACATGCTGAAAGGCTTCAGATAAAAATGTTTACTGCATTAAGAATGATTGATCTGAACTCTTTCCTCCTGACAATTAAGGAGTAGGACCTGTGGTCTGTTGACAGACACCTTTCTAAGGTTGTGACAAAGTGATACTAGTATCTACCAGCAGAAGCCCAGTAACCTTTCTTGAGTTCCAGGAAAGATTAGGCATGTCTTAATACATCAATACAGTAAACAAGATAACTGCTTATTAAAGACTGCATTTCAACTACATCATCCATAAATAATCACCAGAGTCCATTCTATTAAACATGACTTTATAAAGATTTCTTACCACCCTACGTTCTCAAACGTTAATGTAAAGAGCAGGATTCTGGGATGGACTGGACCACCTGCCACTACTCTTTGTGGAGTCCGTGCTACCCACTGAGTCATTCCCAAATCAGAACTGTTGGGCAGCCTTACCCACTGTACCACATGCTTGGCCTCTCTCCATCCTGGCTTCTGGCACATATTTTGAGAAACACATAACGCAGGAACACTTCTCATTTTCATGTGCTGGTTGCTCTGCTTTTGGGCCAAAATTGTAATTTATGAAGACTTTTCATTTTCCCCAGTGACTACACCCCTGGTCCCCCTTTCTCTATTCCTTCCTCCAAAATCTCCTTTCATTGCTCCTGTTATATCAGACCCTTCCTCTCAATTTCACTATTTTTCTTTTCTTCCCATATTTTTCTCTATATCAGAACTGTATCCATATTTATTTATTCATTCATTTATCCATTTATTTGTTTATTCATTTATTTATTTGGTGGGGCTGGGATATGAACTCAGGGCTTCATGCCTGCAAAGCAAGTGCTCTACCACTTGAGTTACACCTCCAGTCTTTTTGCTCTGGTTATTTTGGAGATAGGGTCTTATAACATGGCTATCAGGTTTGGCCAATTCATGGGCTGTATTCTCCATGATTTATTTATTTATGTATGTATGTATTTATTTATTTTTGGTGGGACTGGGGTCTGAACTCAAGGCTTCATGCTTGCAAAGCAGGTGCTCTACCATTTGAACCACACCTCCAGTCCATTTTTCTGTAGTTATTTTGGAGATGAGGTCTTGCAAACTATTTGCCCAACTGTGATCCTCCCTATCTCAGTCTCCCAAGAAGCTAGGATTATGGGTGTGAGCCACCAGCACCGAGCTTGTTTTTTTTTTTTTTTTTTAAGTCATCATTACCTTGTTCATCATAGCCGGAAGCAAGCTCTTCTAATTCTTTTTCTTTATTTGTTTGATGGTCTTCTAGCTCCTTGGATACTGATGAGAAATAAGAAAATTACTATCCAAGGATCCTGAGACAGGGGTCACAGAAGAGTCCCCAGAGCCACCAGGCTGTACACCGTTATTCTGAACTAATATGAACTGCTCTTAGGGAAAAAAATACCTGCCCTAATAATCACAACCAAAGTCCAACAGAGCCATGCTCTTTCTATTTTGTATACCATTCTCCTTTTATTTTTCTACTTGTAGCTCTAAGAATTTTAAAAAAGAGTTCTTATCTTTCAGTAAAAAGCCTAAATATCTATTAAAAATTGTAAAAAATAAATACAAGAACCAGTCTTTAACTCATCCTAACTGGCCACTGACTGCTTACATCACTAACCACATTTCTCAAAACCAGCCCAGAGGCATCCCTACAAGCCTGAAATCCAGCTGATCAGCAATGGTCACCCTCCAAAAAGCCTGAATGATGGTTATGTGCCAACCCAGGAGCATTTGTGACTTCTGAAAGTCTGCAGTCCGTGAACTGCAAGCTTCCTAAAACTCATGTAAAAGAAATGTACTTTTTGTAGACAAAGGGCTATAAGCTCAGTGCTTTCTACCACCAGGTGTTTGGCTTAAGCAAGCTTTTAGCTTCAGATATTCAGTGGTGGCCTCTCCCTTCAAAATTTGGAGTTCCCATCAAGATCATCTCCAGACTTGCTTAGGAGTGTCCTGCGGGGCCTTTGGGCCAGAAGGTGTGAATTCCAGACTTCTTGTGCCCAACTCAGACAGTCTTCTTGATCCACCACCAAGTGAATCCATCTCAACAGCAATTGAGTTGACTTGTTTCATTGGGCTCCTATTAATGAATTTATTCTATTTAAAGATGGATGTGTGATTGGATATAAAGTAAGTATTTTGGTTTGGAAGTACAGCATTTAGCAAATATTCTATATGCCTATTCTTCTATCATGTCATTTATTCTCACTTTTGCCTATTTTTCAAAAGTCTTCTTTCATGCATTTGTTCCTGATTTCCTGGTGCTTTCTGAATATTAGAAAATAGGGACCTAAAGCAAATAGGTGGAAAGAAAAGTATAATAATTACACCAATCCAAGCCAGACTCCAAAGCTGATGAATGTGGGTTCATTAGTAAGTAGCCAAACCGTGCAAAGCTGTTTGGTCATACTTTGTCTTGGATCTGAAACCCTCATGAGGGCACTTGGTACCTGTCAATTTGTAAAGGAAAATCATCTTGCTTCCTGGGTAATCTGGAGTCAACTACTAACATGTAGAGTTGGTCACATATCCCTTTTTCAGTCTCTGCTTGGTTGGTGAATCCAGTATTCCATGCATGGGCAACACCATCTACACTTACAAGTAGATGAAGCAGCCTGCTTGCTGATTGTCATGAGATTATCTTTGTCAAAGCCACAGTTCCCTGACAGAACTTGCACTTCCTCTGTATACTTTCACTATGATTCTAACTTTTGCTCTCATTTTAATAAATGGCATAACTTCACTAAAGATGACTCTGATTTATAATGAGGGACTTTTGACATGTCAAAACTGACACATTTGATAAGTAGCTATACAAAAGAAGGGGGGAAATCTCCAACTGTTTCCATGTCCCAATCAGTAACTGTTATTTTCAGATCATTACTGAGAAACATTCCTTTCTTCAACACTCCTTTAAATGTACTAGGTAGAGATATATCCTGCAAATGGAATTACTAGATTAAATGTCCAAAGGACTAATTTAGAAGTCCTGGAAAATTCTCCTATACATGATCTATTTCTAATTGATCTGAAATTAGTATACCTATACTCTTCATGATTTAAGATCTGTAAGCTATAAACAAAATAGGTCTACTTCCCTGCAACACCTAATCCAATTGCCATAACCTATTCAGTCTCACCTAAAAACAATTTCTTTACTTTATTGGTGTATATTAATTATACAAAGGGGTTACACTGTGGTGTTTCACACATGCATGTATTGCACATCAATCAGATTAACTCTCTCTATTGTTTTCTCTTTGCTCCATTCCCCATCCCTCCTGTTTTTTTTTAACAGCTTTCAATGGATTGACTTGTGCTTCCTTTGTACACAGTCACGATGAATTTTGGCATTGTTGCCCCCTCCCCGTCATTCTCTTCAGCCAGCTCTTTGTCATTGGATTCTGTTATTGAGTTGTTGTGAGGCTTTGCAGTTATGACATTGGCTTGTTTATTCCTTTTTGTGATTCTACACTACCATTTGTACATCTATTGGGGTGAGTTTCTCTTTTACATCCCTCAGATGAGAGACAAGTGACAAGATCAATAACTGAAGAATAAACCAAATATTTAAATGAGTTAAGAAGTGATTGGAAATCTCTGCTACCTCTCTGATAAGGTTGTAGAGGAACAGAACTAGGGTAGTTAGGGAATAAACTGGAAGCTTAATAATGGTTAAGGGTATCGGTACTAAAAATGAAGTAATATAAAGAGTCAGAGTGAGGAAAGGAAAAAAGTAGGAAGATAGGGAGGGAGGAAGGGCAGAAGGTATAGGAAATAGTAGTTTGGGGGAGCACTGTATGTTACACAGAATGGTTTAGAGATAGAGGACAGACAAGAGGAAAAATCCAAAAACCTCATGATAAAACAAACAGTCTAAAACAAACAAAACAAAACAAAGCAGTCTGAGATTCTTGGTGAGAAGTGTGGATGTAGGCTAGGTCCAAATGTCCAGCATTCTCTTCTTGTCTTTGGCCCTCAGAGCTCCATCTGTGTCTGTCTCAGGAACTTAGATACATACAGTGGCCTTCTGAATAGCCACCTCCAGCAGCTGCACTCTGGGTACAGCCTGGGACTCACAAATTCTTGTCTTTGATACCTTCATGTTTCACTTTGTTTGATGTCCCACTTGATATTAGTTGCTTGAGAAAGTCAATGACTCATCAACACAATGATTTTCTATAGGTTGTATTAAGCCCTGTTGTGATAGGCACATTTTAAAAATGGCTCCCAAGGATTTTCTCCCCTAATCCAAAGAACTATGAATACAAAGATATTATATAATTAGGTTAGTTAATATAGCATAACTGACCTTTAAAAATGAAGATTATCATCTTGGGCCTTGCCTAATTACATGAGCCCTTTAAAAGCAGAGCGTTTGTTCCAGTTGGCAGCAGAAGAAGACATCAGACAATCAGTGTGAAGAGGGACTCACATGTTATGGAAGCTTAAAGACCAGAGGGCCACATGTCAAGGAATGTGAGTAGCACCTGGGATCTGAGAGAGATCCCTGGACAACAGTCAACAATAAATCTGTGACCTCAGACCTACATCCACAAGAAACAAGATTTATCAACAACCTGTATAAGTTTGGTGGCAGGATTTTCCCCAGAACCTTGAGACACATGCTCAGCCTGGCTGACAAGGGATCTTCAGTCATGTTAAGACGGAGAAGAGGGCTGGAGGTGTGGCTCAAGTGGTGTAGTACCTACCTAACAAGCAAAAGGCTCTGAGTTCAAAACCTAGTACCACCACCACCACCAACAACAAAAATACCTGCATTTGTCCAGAATATCAGCCAGGCCAAACTAGGCTAGACAGATAACATACATATTCAAGACTGAACAGAGAAGTAAATTAAGCCTTAAAATTATGAACTGTGGAACTATGAATAGTAAATGGGTGTTGAATTAAACATTATAATTGTGGTAATTCGTTAATCAGCAATGAAAAACAAAGACAATCATCCTCTCCTAAGCCTTACTTAAGTCATAAGGGATATAAAACTCACTTGTTATCCTCTCTGACCCATACATAGGTCAACTCCTTCAGCTCTATATCTAGACTTAATCTAATTATTGAGCTGGCCAAAAAAAAAAATGACACAAAATATGTAAGGAAAAATTCTAAGAGGACCAGGAACTAGAGAAAAGGTTAGATCAAAAAGAATTAACCTAGAAGGTAACACTCACGCACAGGAAATCAATGTGAGTCAATGCCCTGTATAGCTATCCTTATCTCAACCAGCAAAACCCCTTGTTCCTTCCTATTATTGCTTATACTCTCTCTACAACAAAATTAGAGATAAGGGCAAAATAGTTTCTGCTGGGTATTGAGGGGGTGGGGGGGAGAGGGAGGGGGCTGGAGTGGGTGGTAAGGGAGGGGGTGGGGGCAGGGGGGAGAAATGAACCAAGCCTTGTATGCACATATGAATAATAAAAGAAAAAAAATTCTAATTTAACTTTTGAAAAAGAAGTGGGGGTAGTACATTATATAAAGAAAAGTTAGGTAGTATCCAGAATTATCCAATGCAATGACCGTAAGACAAATAAGTGGATTTCTAGGATTGACTTGGACTTGAAGCCAACGGAGGTCAAACCTTCCTAAAATATCAGGGCCTCGCTGCATTTGACTACATTGATTATATCTGGAATTCTTTCTCCTGGGGTATAGAAAGTGAGAAGACTTTCAGGATTTTAAAAATCACCCTCAAGAACCACATACACTGAATCTCCCATATTATCATAACCTATATCTTTTGTGTGACCATAAAAACTAGGCCATGCTCTACAGATATTGGGTCAAATTATGACAAAAAAATTAAAGGCCTATTGCTAATGGCCACAGCTTAGCTAGTTGTCTCAAAGCAATAGCAGATGATTTTATCAGTCAAGGATTCTTGAGATTTTGTACTACAGTCACCTTTAAATATGATGAGACTGCAGACAGTACAATTCCTTTACAAAATCTACACTTTCAAGAGTGTTCTGCCATTCAAATAATTAATAATTAAGTATTATTGTTTCTCCTGGGTCTATCACCATCCACAGGCATAACATACTCAACATAGCACCTCTGTAACTTTTCCTCAATGAAGGGAAATCCTAAGATTCTGAATGCAGTGTCCTATTTCAGACAAGACACTTTGTATATGGATAACACTTCATGTTTCTTGCTGCTTTGGGTGAGGGGCATCTAAAGGGGTAACTGGGAATCAGAACTTCCTACACTGCTAGGAAAACAATTTTTTTCCTTGGCCATAGGAACCAGTATCAACCCAAATCCTCACAATTATTATGTGACAGCATCAGTCCAGTGCACAGGCCCTGGAAGCACACCAGGCAAACGTTCACATTCCCATCTTCTGTCAGTCCGCTGAGCAATACCAGCCACATTCCCATAATACTTTGTTTTCTGCTAAAGGTCAACCAGTCCCCAAACAAGACCACTTCTGAAAGACCACTAATCCCTGAGACCCACACTCCACAGACACTCTATAATATGAGTGTTTGTCAGAGAAAACATGATTCTTCTTTGATTTTAAGAGTGTGCTCCAGCTAGTGTGGAGGTACATGCCAGTAATGCCAACAGGAAGGAGGCTGAGACAGGAGATCTTGAGTGTGAGGCTAGCCTAGGTTACACAGTGAGTTTTAGGCCAGCTAGGGCTATCTAGTGGGACCCTGACTCAAAACAGAAAAAACTGAGCCCACATTTTGTGTGATATTCAGTGGTAGTTGCTTCTCTTGATGGAGTTGCATCTGCATCACCACACACTAAAGGTCTGTGCTTCTCTGTGACTCTCTAGACTTCCTCCCCCTGACATTTCTTTTCTTGCTGATGGCATGTCTTTCCCCTGAGTGATGTACTGTATTTTTCACTTTGCTTCTGTGTTCATTTTTTCTACCTCTGTTCTTCTGGATATCATCTATCTCAAACAGTAGGTGATACTCATACATTTCTAATCCCTATGATTGTTTCCTCTTCTCTCCCTTTAGCTTTCTTTATTTGCTAAGTGAAATCCTTTCCATTGACCCCTAACAGGTTTGTCTGTGTATCCAAAGGTCCTTTGGACTTGTACTTTGGACTCAGACCATGGGACCCCCTCCCCAACCAATGCTAGTCTCATAAAATCAGAGCCCAAGTGGAGCCATCCAGAATTTTGATCTCTACCGTTTTGTCCCTAGTGGGTCTTATAACACACCTGTATCTTATCCAGTATTATGTTTCTAGTATCTCAAAAAAGTAAAATTTTCTGTGAATAAGGGTTTGGGGGATAAAAAGATAACACACTTACGAAAGTACTCTGAAAAAAATACTGTATGATCCAATGACATATGGACAGAATTGGTTTTAAAAAATCATTTGTTTTCATAAATACTTCATCTGAATTCTGTCAATTTAATAGTACTATACTCTTTTGTTGAATCTTTTGTCAAGTTTGTGAAAATAAAAATGACTAAAATGATCAACTAGCTCGGGAATGACAAGTTTTAATTTCCATAGAAAATAAGGACTGAATGAGAACAGGAATTGTTACATCAATTCAATAATAGTATAAGTAGGTGTGAAAAGACAAGGTAAAAAAACATACTCTCAACCGAACACATTTCTAATACCACGAATATAGGAACACCAAACATCAAACAAGACCCCTGATCACAGCGTTTCTCAAGACTCCTTGCCTTCCTGAATTTCCCATGTCCATGAATAAATGTAAAGAACAGAATCCATGGAGTAACTGGATCTCCTCCTTGTGAAGTGAACTAAGCCAGAATTCATTAGGAAACACCAGCCAGATTCCAACCTCCCAATAACCTGCAGACCACACAGTCCTTCCCTTACCTTGCACGCTTCTTGGTGTTGAGCTCAAGGCATCCAGGGACTCATCTCCTTTAAATGATTGCAAACAAGTACTGTTGCCTTCTGCAAAAAGGAGTGAAATCCCTTAGAGGAGTCTGCGTATGGCCAAGGGAAACCATAGCAGGAAGCCCACCATGACAGAACCAGGAAGACCTATGAGGAATGTCCCTGTCTTCAGACCCTGACACCAAGGCTAACACAGTTCCTGTCATTATCACTGAATGCAGAGCAAGCCACCCCCCTCACTCCCTCCCTGAACAACTCATTATCTCCTATATCTGACCCTCTTCCCTAGCTCTGCCCATTCCTTCTGCCTTGAGTGTGAAAGGAACACTATAGAATGGCTGAAGCACAGACTTTGTTTCCTACAGAAAGAAAGGCAAATTGGGAATTGAAAGCACAATTACCTCCTTCATTACAGAGTGTTTGGCTAAGCTCCTCCTCTGCTTCATCTTCAGTGACCATTTGTGAATCTTCACCACTACAGGACACTGAAAAGCACAAGACACACCAGACCATGAAGAAAGACCCAGAAACCTGCCTCAAAGTGCTCAGGAAAAGTAGGGGTACACAGGCATCAAGATCATAATATTGAATCTTTTGTTTAAATAGGCTGGAGATATGAAAAGGAAAAAAGAGTCTTTCCTTGGTTCTTACTACTTCAACATGAATAAGGAACACACATCTCCTACCAATAAGGGTCACATTGTTCCAAACGGGACTCACAGGAATTCCTCGTGTTCCACAAAAGGCCAAGGCAAATAGGAAAGCTCATATCTGAGGGTTAGTGGAGTGTGTTGGCAGTGACCAAAGTAGAAGCCTTCTGTATGCTCCTCACTGCACCCTGCCACCCAGGCAGGAACTGGAAATGCTCAGTTCCTTACCTGGCCCACATCTGGGTGGGGAGCACAAGGTGGCCTGGGGCTTTTCTCCCCCACACATTTCCAAAGATACCACAGGTCCACCAGTCTACACACAAGGCCGCTTCTGAATATCCACCAATCCCTGTGACACACACTTCCCCAGACACCCTACAACATGAGTGCTTGTCAGAGGAAATGTGATTCACAAGCAAAAGAGTTCCTTGATTTTAAAACTATGAGTTCCAGCTGGGTTGGTAGTTCATGTCTCAAATGCTAGCACTCAGGAGACCAAGATAGAGGATCTTAAGTGTGAGGCTAGCCTGAGTTACATAGTGAGTTCTAGGCCAGCTAGGACTATCTAGTACCTGAGTCAAAACAGAAAAAACTGGAGTCCCACCTTTTGTGTAATATTAAGTGGTAGCTGCTTCTCTTAATAGTACACACGTCTCCATCACCACACACTGAAGCTTTGTGCTTCTCTGTGACTCTCTGGACTTCTTCCCCCTGACATTTTTTCTCTTGCAGATTGCCTGCCTTTCCTCCTAGTTATATACTATATTTTTCACTTTGCTTCTGTGTTCATTTTTTCTACCTCTGATCTTCTGGATATCTTCTAGCTCATACAGTAGATGATATTCACATATTTTCTGACCTGTGTGATGTTTTCCTCTCCTCTCCCTAAGCATTCTTTATTTGCTAAATGAAATCCCTTTCTATTGACCCCTGGAAGATTCATCTGGTCAATCAAAGGCCCTTTGGACTTCCACTTTGGACTCACACCATGGGACTCTCTCACCAACCCATGCTAGCTTCACAGAATCGAAGCCCAAGTGAAGCTATCCAGAAACTTGATTTCTGCTCTTTTTGTCCTTATTGAGTTTCATAACACAGCTGTATCTAATTCACTCTGTTTCTAGTATCTTGGAAAAAAATAACAATTTCCCTGCCTATGAATTTGTCAGTTTAACAGTACTATAGTGTTTCTTTGAAGCTTCTGTCAAGTTTGTAAAAAGATTAAAATTATCAACTAGCTCAGGAATGACAAGTTTTGATTTCCAAAGAAAATAAAGACTGAATGAGAACAGGAATTGTTACATCAATTCAATAATAGTATTAGTAGATGTGAAAAGACAAGGTAAAAGAACATACTCTCATCCCAACACATTTCTAATACCATGAATCTATGAACACCAAACATCAAACAAGACCCCTGATCACAGCGTTTCTCAAGACTCCTTGCCTTACTGAATTTCCCCATGTCTGTGAGTAAATGGAAAGAACAAAATCCAAGGAGTAACTGGATCAAGTAACATGGAGTAACTCCTTGTGAAGTGAGCTAAGCCAGAATTCATCAGGAAACACCAGCTCAGATTCCAGCCTCCCAATAACCTGCAGACCACACAGTCCTTCCCTCCCCTTACCTTCCCTACTTCTTGGTGGTGTGCACAAGGTATCCAGGGACTCATCTGCATTAAATGATTGCAAACAAGTACTGTTGCCTTCTGCAGAAAAGAATGAAATCCCTTAGAGGAGTCTGTGTATGGCCAAGGGAAACCATAGCAGGAAGCCCACCATGACAGAACCAGGAAGACCAAGGTGGCTCAAATGTCTTCGATGGGAATGTCCCTGTCTTCAGATCCTAACACAAAGGCTAACATAGCTCCTGTCATTATCACTAACTGCAGAGGACAGGCCACCCACCTCACTCCCTCCCTGAACAACTCCTTGTCTCTTATATCTGACCCTCTTCCTTAGCTCTACCCATTTCTTCTGCCTGGGTATGTGAAAAGAGCAGGATAGAATTGCTGAAGAAAGAGGAGACTTTCCTTCCTACAGAAAGAAAAGCAAAGACTCATAAGCTGATTGGGAATTGAAGCATGATTACCTCCTCCGTTATGGAGTGCTTGGCTGGTCACCTCCTCTGCTTCATCTTCAGTAGTCATTTGTGAATCTTCATGATTATAGGACACTGAAAAGCACAAGACACAACAGACCATGAAGAGGGACCTAGAATCATGACTCAGGTGCTCAGGTGGAATCAGATTTTTTCCCCTCTCTCTCTAAGCATTACCTATTTGCTAAATGAAATCACTTTCCATTACCCGTGGTAGGTTCCTCTGGGTACACAAAGGCCCTTTGGACTTGCACTTTGGACTCACACCATGGGACCCCTTTTTAAACTCATGCCAGCTTCACAGAATCAGAGCCCAAGTGGAGCCATCCAGAAACTTGATTTCTACTTTTTTTTGTCTTTCTTGGGTCTCATAACTCAGTTGTTTCTTATCCAGTTCTATGTTTCTAATATCTTGGAAAAATAACAATTTCCCTGCCTATGGTTTTGGGAAATAAAAAGATAACATACTTATAAGAGCACTCTAAGAAAACACTATATGATCCAATGACAAATGGAAAGAATTGATTAAAAAACAGCATTTGGTTTTATAAATATCATCTGAATTCTGTCAAGTTAATATATACTGTTTCATTGAAGTTTTTGTCAATTTTGTGAAGAAGTGATAAAAATTATCAAGTAGCACAGGAATGACAAGCTTTTTGATTTCCATAGAAAATAAAGACTGAGTGAGAACAGAAATTGTTATATCAATTCAAATATTAGTGTCCTAGGTTTGAAAGACAAGACAAAAGAGCACTCTCTCATCCTAACTCACTTCTAAGACAGCTAAATATATGGAACCCAACATGAAGTAAGAGCCCTTAGTCATGGAGTTTCTCAAAATTTCTTGTTTCCCTGAATCTCCCAAGTCCATGGGTAAATATGAAGAGTGGTATTCAAGGAATAACTGGATCTCTTTCTTGTAAAGTGTGCTTATCATAAATCTACCAAGAAACACAACTCAGAGTCCATTCTCCCAACACCTTGCAGACCACACAGTCCCTCCCTTACCTTCCCTATTTCTCGGTGGTGTGCACAAGGCATCCTGGGACTCATCTGCATTAAATGATTGCAAACAAGTACTGTCGCCTTCTGCAGAGAAGAACAAAATCCATTAAAGGATACTGTTTATAGCCAAGGGAACCATAGCAGGAAGCCCACCATGAGAGAATTAGGAAGACCGAGATGGCTCAGGTGTCTCTGATGGGGAGCATACCTGTCTTCAGATCCTGGCATCAAGGTTAACACAGCTTCCGTCATTATCACTGAGTGCAGAGGACAAGCCACCCCCCTCACTCCCTCCCTGAACAGCCAATTGTCTCTTATATCTGACCCTCTTCCCTAGCTCTACCCATTTCTTCTGCTTGGGTATGTGAAAAGAGCAGGATAATAAGGCTGGAGAAAGAGGAGGCTTTCCTTTCTACAGAAATAAAGGCAAAGACTCATGAGTTGATTGGGAATTGAAGCATGATTACCTGCTCCATTACAGCGTGCTTGGCTGGCCACCTCCTCTGCTCCATCTTCAGTGATCATCTGTGAATCTTCACGATTACAGGACACTGTAAAATACAAGGATACAACAGATCATGAAGAGGGACCCAGAAACATAACTCAGGTGTGCAGGTGGAACCAGGAAGTTCAGAAAAAACAGGGTTCACAGGCATTGAGTTTACAATATTGAACTTTAGCTTAAATAGGCAGGAGTCATGCAAGGGAAAAAAGAGTCTTTCTTTGGTTCTTACTACTTCAACATGAATAAGGAACACACATCTCCTACCAATAAGGATCACTCTGTTCTAAACAGGACTCACAGGAATTCCAACTTGTGTTCCACAAAAGGCCAACGCAAATGGGAAGGCTCCTATCTGAGTATTAGTGGAGTGTGTTAGCCGGGACCCCAATAGCAGCCATCTGCATGCTTCCGATGCACCTGCCGCTCAAGGATGGAAATGCTCAGTTCTTCACCTGGCCCACATCTGGGTGGGAAGCACAAGGTGGCCTGGGGCTTTTCTCCTCTACACATTTCCAAAGAGGCATTGCTCTGTTCTGCAGAAATGAAATGAAATGCCTCAGGAGACAGCCAAGGTCTGAGTGTATAACCAAGGTTGAAATCATGATCAGAAAAGCAGAGTGAAGGTGTGGGAATCTCCTGTGGGTCCTGCCTGGGACCATCCCTGTCCAGACCCTGATGGTCTGTGCTTTAAATTCACTTGAATTCTTGTCACTTTCACCAAGGCTGAGGGCCATCCTCCAGCTCACTTCCTCCTGATACCTGATTCTCTCCTCCCTCCCCTTCCCCTTTCCTCTCACATATTCGATCTCTGTCCCATTTCTGGCTGCCAGGGTCTTTAGAAGGTTCTCTTTGTGTGTGTGTGTGTGTTTTGTTGGTACTGGGTTTGAACACAGGGCCTCACATAGAAGCTGCTCTTTGCATGTGTTTCTGTCTCCTTTGCTCCTTCTTCATCTCTTGCGCCCTGGTCTTTGCCCTCTTCCCCATCTCATTGGCTTCTGTCTCCCCATTTCTCTTCCTGAGCACGACACTGAGTAGGGTGATAGAACTGATCAGAAAAGGGGACAAGGGGGAGAGGAAGGTCCAAGGCAACAATTATTCAACACAGAGAAAAGTGTGTTCAAAACCCACGTATAAAGGAAAGATCTGATTGTTAGAACCTCTGGAGTCATTAACGCTCATGTTAGAGGTGAGGGAGAAGTATAGATGAGGGTCCCATGGCAGAGGGAAGCCACAGAAACGCACAGGAAGGGAAATTGTTTAATCATAGGACAATAAAGACCCCAGGCATAAAGGGGAAATAATGGGGTGTGACTTATACCTGCAAATAAGAATCATGAGAACATTTGAGTTAAAATACTATTATACGTACAAATACCACAATGAAACTCTTTGTATAACTGTCTTAAACAAATAAAAATACCTTTTTTCAAAAATGGAGAACCAAAAGGTAAAACAGTTCCCATCTGGGGCTGGCACCAGTGGAAGGGAAGAGGGCATAAGGAAAGGGTGTAGGAGGGTGAAAGTAGTGGAAATATAGGCACTCATGTATACAGATGGAGAAATGAGACCTGATGAAACTATTTCAGGAATGAGGGAGGGGAGGATAAAGGAGAGTGATGGAGGGGGTGAATTCAACTACAACATAATGTAAAACTTTTGTAAGTGTCACAATGTACCTCCAGTACAACAATTATGTGATAATAAAAAAAATAATTCTTACTCTTACAAGAAAAGAATCATGAGAACATGAGGACAGGTGCACAAGAACACAGGACATTTCTGTCTTTACAGAAAGAGGAAGCCTGGATAAGCAGAAGTTTCAAGTATTAGAAGGAAGCCAATGCTGTCCCTTGGGGAGTGTTCAGCTCCTAAGAAGCATCCCATGGAGAAGGTTCTGAAAAAAGTATCTTCAGACACATGGAAGGATGGCTTGCAGGACAGACCTGCCTGACAGACATGAGCTTGAAAACCATTCTGTTATCTGAGAGCGGGTGAAATTGCTTGATACTTCTTAGAGTTCCCTCTCCTTCAGGAGACCTTACTCTGAAAACTTACTGTGAAAGTAGGCACCTTTTCTGGAAGTTTCGCTCTTCAGTGACTATTATCTAGTTCTCTTATTTAATTCTGATTCCAGGGCTACAGGCTGCCACTTCTTTCCTCCTTTCTGTAGACAGCTTTCACTCTGTACCAAGTTTTTACCTAACTTACCTTTTCTCTACTTAGTTTCCTCTTCACTTCCTTCCCACATTACTAGTAGTAAAAATCCACTACTACTCTATACACTCTATTTTTTGTTTATGTACCTTATTTCTTTTTTCTCAAAGCATTTTTATTAGCATAAATTAGTTGCACAGGGGGATTCATTGTGACATTTCTGAATAGTCTTACATTGAACTTTGGTTAGGTCTGCCCTACCATCTCTCATCCTTTCCCCCTCCCCCCTCCTGAAAATTGCAAAAGGTTTCATTGTACTATTTCATATATGTATATAAGGTACATCAACCATACCCACCATCCTTTATCCCCTTCATTTACCCTCCCCCCTCCCACAAGTACCTACCCCTCACAGAACCTACCTTACAGTCCTGCCCTTCATTTTTAATTCCAAGGTCAGTGTTCAATGGGCTTTTCAATTTATCTCAGTTGTGAATATACTGTACTTTGGTTAGTTCAACCCCTGTACTTCTCTATTCCTCTCCCTTACTCTTTTACTCCTATCCCCTATTATTCCACAGCTTTCAGTGCATGTCATTGTCATTTACTGCAAAGATGCAATGTATTTTGCTATTGTTGACTCACTATGATGCTCCTTTCCTTTCCCTCCTCCCTTGAGTTCCATAGAATAGATCCAGTATTATAAACATGTTCTATATATAAATGTATAAACGATCTTGTTTGTTTTTGTGTACATATTTATTTTCTGGATCTATCTGCCACATATGAGAGAAAAAATGTGGCCTTTGTCTTTCTGAACCTGGCTTACTTCACTTAACATGATGTCCTCCAATTCCACCCATTTACTGGCAAACATAGTTTCATTCTTCTTTATGGCTGAGTAGTACTCCATATATATATCACATTTTCTTAATCCATTCATCAATTGTAGAGCAGCTGGGATGTTTTCATAGTTTGGCTATTGTGAATAGTGCTACAATAAACTAGGATGTGCAAGTGTGCCTATTGTATCTGGACTTACACTCCTTTGGGTATATGCTGAGGAGTGGTATCACTGAATTATATGGCAGTTCTATCTCTAGTTTTTTGAAGAATCTCCATACTGCTTCCCATAGTGGTTGTACTAATTTGCATTCTCACCAGCAGTGTATAAGGGCTCCTATTTCACAGCATCCTCGCCAGCATTTGTTGTTGTTTGTGTTCTTGAATATGGCCATTCTAACTGAAATCTTAGTGTAGCTTTGATTTGCATTTCTTTTATGGCCAGGAAAGCTGAGTACTTCTTCATGTATTTATTGGAAGTTTATACCCATTCCTTTGAAAATTGCCTGTTCAATTTATGTAGCCATTTCGTCATTGGGTTGTTGATTCTTTGGAGTCTAGTTTTTGAGCTTCCTATAGAGTCTAGCTAATAGTCCCTTATCAGATGAGTAACTGGCAAAGATTCTCTCCCATTCAGTGGGCTCTCTCTTAAGTCTAGTGACTATTTGATTTGCTATGAAGAAGGTTTTTGAGTTGGTACAGTCCCATTTGTCCATCTTTTCTCTTAATTGCTGACCCACTGGAGTTCTATTTAAGAAGTTATGGCTATGCCTGCATGTCCCATTTATCCCCTAATCTTTCCTGTAGTAGTTTTAAAGTTTCAGGCCTCATACATTTGATCCACTTTGAGTTGATATTAGTACAGGGTAAATGACAGAGATCCAGTGTCAGTCTTCTGCCTTTGGGTATCCTGTTTTCCCAGGACCATTTGTTGAAGAGGCTGTCTTTTCTCCACCATATGTTTTGGGCTCCTCTGTCAAAAATCAGTTGGCTGTAGCTACATGGATGTATGTCTAGGTCTTCTATTTGTTTCATTGGTTCTCATGTCTGTTTTTGTGCCAATACCATGTTGCTTTTATTGCTATGGCTCTAAAGTTTGAGATCAGGTAATGTGATACCTCCAGCATTGCTCTTTTTGCTCAGAAATGCTTTGGCTATTTGAAGTCTTTCGTGCTTCCATATGAACTTTAGGGTTGATTTTTCTATCTCTGTAAAGAATGGCACTTAGCTGGTCACCGGTGGCTCATGCCTGTAATCCTAGCTACTCAGGAGGCAGAAATCAGAAAGATCACAGTTCAAAGCCAGCCCAGGAAAGCAGTTTGCAAGACCCTATCTCAAAAAAAAAAAAAAAAAAAAAAAACCATCACAAAAATAAAAGGCTGGTGAAGTGACTCAAGGTGTAGACCCTGAGTTCAAGCCCCAGTATTGCAAAAAAAAAAAGTCACTGAAATTTTGATAGAGATTTATTTTATTAAACATGTAAATTGCTTTTGGTAATATAGCCATCTTCAAAATATTGATTCTGCCAATCCATGAGCACAGGAGATATTTCCATCTTCTGATGTCTTCTTTAGTTTCTATCTTCAGTGACTTATAGTTTTCATTGGTGAGGTCCTTTACTTGCTTCATTAAATTTATTCCTAAGTGTTTTACTTTTTTTTGAGACTATTATAAACGGGACTGTTTCCCTTATTTCTTTCTTAATCTGTTCATTGTTAGTATATACAAAAGCTACTGGTTTTGTGTATTGGTTTTGTATCCTGCTACTTTGCCAAAAGTGTTTATAATGATGTCTAGGAGTTTTTTGGTGGAGTTTTCAGGGTCTTTTAGGTATAAGATAATTTCACCTGCAAATAAGGATAGCTTGACTTCTTCTTTCCCTATTTGAATCCCTTTTATTTCTTGTTCCTGTCCTATTGCTCTGGCAAGGAATTCCAAACCTATATGGAATACAAGTGGGGAAAGTAGACACCCTGTCTCATTCCTGGATTTGGCAGAAATTGTTTCAGTTTCTTCTTTATTTAGTATAATGTTAGCTATAGGTTTGTT